CGTTTTGCCTGGTCAATAACCTATAATTATGATATACCTGTACAATCAATACCATCTCCTGAGTAACCACTTGGACACGGGTCGCACTGGAATCCAGTTTCGTTTGCAGGTGGCGGTAAATCAGTACAGGTGACGCCTGGGTAACATGGCTGGGAATTTTCTTCACAAGCGTCAAGATCTGAATCACAAAAGGATCCGGTGTAACCATCCTTACACGCACACGAGAGAATATTGAATCTTTCTGTGTTGTTGGCATTGTTTTCCTCGCTATCTTCTTCATGAAAGCAGCTTCCATCATTAAGACATGCGCAAACATAAATGACTGGACTTAAGACTGTGGTTGCAGTTCCATCCGACACAATAAAGTCTACTTCGATCTGTAAAAGTAAAGTGCTTGTCAAAATGAATTTTGAAACAGAATACTCAAAAGAGTCTGCATGAAAATATAAATACGAACAAATGAGATCTATTTGAAAAAGGTATTAAAGAAGGATAAAAAAATCAAAATCTTATTTTTTCAGAAGCCCCCCACACCAGGCTGAAAACAAACCGTGATTTACAATAACAAACGGCTACCTCCTCAGAGGTGACCCTCCAAGTCAAAGTTATTGACGACGCATCGCCTGTCGTTGTATAACCCGCGGGAAGTGTTCCAGATAAAGTGAAAGTCAAGGAATCGTTGTTAGGATCCTCTGCTGTCACAATAATAGTAGCTGTTTCGTTGACAGTTACATTGACCTCAGTTAATGGTCCTGTTAAAATCCTTGGAGGGAAATTTTCTGCAAAAAAATTAGACTGAGCATTAAAAAAGGACGGAAATCCCTTACTCTAAGCATGGAATTAGTACTATCACGAAGGAAAGAGATGTGTGGCACAGTTTTATTAGATGGTAACCAGGTTTAAAAGGAGGCCGATGAGATACCATTGGATTTGAATCTAATTTTCATTCATTTATGGTATGGAAAATGGTGGATAAAAAAAGATCCGCTAAAAGTGAACCACAACTTTGAATTTAAAGCAATACATGTCTTCATCGTATACAATCATCTTCAGTTGCATGTAATACAGTTTATATGCTTTGAAATAACAATTATGGTGTTGCATCACCATAATAATTATACATGTGCATGTATTGTTATAGACCTTTGTCACGCGGCCACCATTTTGTTCCAAGAGAATAAAAAAGCGTTGTATTTGCACGGCTAGCCTCGTTCTCACTGCGAGGCTAGCCGTGGAAATACAAAGTTTTTATAATCTCTTGGGATAAAATGGCCACCTCGTGACAAAGGTCTATTTCAACTGAAAGTAGTTAACTGTATTACTTGCAACTGAAGACGAATACTGCAGTCCTTTGTTTGTAGGCATAGGTACGGGTCAACGCAACCGTCTCGAAGATGGCTTACACCAGGCGTTAATACTTCTTTTTAAATGCTTAAATGGTACGGGACCTACTTATATTGGAAGCCTTTTTAAATACAGGCGTAGACCGTATAGGCTAAGAGGCGAGGGCTTGAATTTGGAATTACCTAACTTTAATCTTAAATTTAAGAAGAATTCTTTCACTTACTCATTAACTAAGTTATGGAACAGTTTGCCTTCTGAAGTGCGTCTTTCATGTACTTCAACAGTAGATTGTACGACTGCAGCCTTTTAGAAAGTGTCTTATAGTGCACGATTGTAGCTTTCAACTGTTTTTAGAACGAGTATTATAGTTTTCCTAGTCACGTTTCTAGTATGTGGCTTTTTAGTCGGTTTTAACTTTTTATATTTTATGTTTTTAATACCAAGTTTTTTATATTTATCTATTTATTGAGTTGTTTTTTAAAGTGAATAATATTATATAGTTGTAATTATTATAGATTTTATTTATATACGTTCTTATTTTGAACGAGTTTTTTAGCTCTTTGATGCAACGTGTTAAAATAAATGATTGATTGATTGATTGATTGATTGACTGATTGAACATACATCAATCAGAAAATGTCTTTCTTCAAATTCAAAATTGTGGTTCACTTTTTACGAATTATTATTCCTGTCGGCTGAGATGTCTGTGTTAGTGTGCTAGAGTTTGCATCCAGACTTCTTAGAAGCGGTAATCCTGAAATCAAGCCATGCGGCAATCCTTGGTAAGAAGATACTTGACAGTAACAATGTAATAATGTTTCAAATTTTTTACCGCGCAAGTATCTATATAGACATAATCAACTGCCGAGCTGACTTACCCAATGCCTGTGATTCGCTTTCAATTTGTACAGCCACTTGTTTGGTGCTCTCTCCAACAGATACATCTCCAGTGGAAGCGATGTCGAACAAGCAGTTCACGTCTCCTTGACAAGCAAGCTCTGCTGCAACCCTTAACTCGTTGGTTGCAAAATTTATTGGTTCGTCCAAAAAGATAGGAACAAATGACGCATTAGCGTAAGTGCTTGTGTTTTCTCCAGGATTGTAGGTGAATAGGGTTGTATTCTCCATCACTTGCCCTAGCATAAGAACATAATAGAACATTAGAACATGTACCTTTGTGGACTTTGCACGTGCCTTTTCTTGTTTAAAACATAAATCAGATTATTGGAAAAAAAAAATGAAGTATACTGTTGGAAAGATTTCGCAGTTTAACAACTATTTTTTCTCATTTATGTGTCAAGCACTGAGAAAAAATGTTAAAGAACCCCTTGTTTCAGCTTTTAATAAACCTCTTGCCTGCACATTTATATTAAATACTGTGTAACAAAGCTACACTGTAGCCTTCTCGAACACTGTTAAAGACTATATAACATGAAATACTATAGACGTGGCACTTAAGTGTGATGAGACTTACAATGTAAGCCAAAATCGAAATGTATCTGACGGCCTGTGGCGTTGGATGGTAGCGTTGTTCCATCAGGTCTCAAGAAGTCATCAAGGGTGTCATCGTTCCAAGTCCCTAAGAGC